GCCGGCTAGATCAGGCATGATCACAGCCGTAACAAGTACAAGTACAAGTCGTGCCCCTATATTCACGTATTACGGGAGGGGGAATTCGGTGTAACTGAAGCCTTCTTAACGCATCATATGATTGCAGAAGAAAAAGACGTGATCACTGGGACGACATTATGAGGTTTAAAAACAAGCCAAGGCCGACGAATAAAAGGGTAGAAGGCAAGACTCACGGTCGGAATCGTGTCAAAGAGGATCTTCGGGTGTGATTCGCCAATACACTCGTTTTCGGCATCCCATCTGGCGCCGTCAAAGAATAGGCCTGTTATTAGGGCTCCGTCTGCAGGCCTTGTCAATCCTTCAAACTTGTTCAGGCGTTCAGTTTGTACAGGTTTCTTGTCCTTCTTCTCCTTGCCCTTCTTGTCGACCTTCGGTTTCTGGTTTATGGGTGCGTCATCCGGCTCCACGACCGAGCTCACATAGGTTTTTAGCACCTTGAAATCGAAGCCCACGGTATCGATAGGGATGGTATACTTCCGAGCATAGTTCTGCAGCACGCCAGTCAGGAAGGACTGGGTGAAGTAGAACCCGGAAATCCAAAACACTTCCGGTGCGTTGAAGAGGATCCACTCATTGAGAAAACGCAACCTAAGATGTATAGCATCGAAAGATTATAACTTATGAAATTATGACAAATCGGTTAGTAACTAGTAAGTTCTTCCGCGAGGCCGAAGGAATCTCAAGCCTTAGTTTGTGTTCTTAACCATTGAAAGTCGACCAAACATACCCTAAAGACTAGATTGAGCAGACTGTAGTGGTCAAAATCAGCGCACAACGCTTGCCTTTAACGGTTGCTAGCAGGTGCGCAGGCATCAATGCCTATTTACGCCTTCAACGCTGCCTCACGCAAAGACCGCGCTGTAGACGCTCTGATGACTGACGTGCTGACAGTTCGGATGCTGCCCCTCTTACTATCAACTTCCTCTTACCTATTCTCCACTAGCTCTGTATGGAAGATATGTAGGGATATAAGTTGTGGATGTGCTCAGAGCACGACAATTATCACGCCCAGTTCCGTATAGGAAGAGGAGTGGTAAGACCAGTAGGAGTTAATTATTGTATACAGGAGCTCAATGGTGGGCTGAAGTTCCGACGCGCAACAGGCCCGCGACCTGCGCGAGCTTCTGTCTGCTAGCGTGCTGTGGCGTAAATGCGTAAAAGTCATGCGAGAGTGAGTCAATAACAGCTTGATCAAATGCTTGGCCAATAGCAGTCTATGGTACCCGTGATTAGACGTCCCAGCGGCAGATAGAGGAGCACAATCATATGACGGCTTGCGGGCTTGACACCGGTGGTGGACGGTGCTAGAGTTCCCCCTCAGACACTTATTAAATTGAGAGGTCGACGTTGTGGTGAGCGATGAAATGCATGAGCAAGTCCAGTGTACATGCTGATTTGAGAACGTGTCGTGTACGAC